GGATGGCTACTATCCAAAAGTCTACAAGCAATAAATGCTGGAGAGGGTGTGGAGAAAAGGGAACCCTCTTACCCTGTTGGTGGGAATGCAAATTAGTACAGCCACTATGGAAAACAGTGTGGAGATTTCTTAAAAAGCTGGAAATAGAACTGACATATGACCCAGCAATCCCACTTCTGGGCATACACACTGAGGAAACCAGATCTGAAAGAGACACGTGCACCCCAATGTTCATCACAGCACTGTTTATAATAGCCAGGACATGGGAGCAACCTAGATGCCCATCAGCAGACGAATGGATGAGGAAGCTGTGGTACATATACACCATGGAATATTACTCAGCCATTAAAAAGAATTCATTTGAATCAGTTCTAATGAGATGGATGAAACTGGAGCCCATTATACAGAGCGAAGTAAGCCAGAAAGATAAAGACCATTACAGTATACTAACACATATATATGGAATTTAGAAAGATGGTAACGATAACCCTATATGCAAAACAGAAAAAGAGACTCCGATGTATAGAACAGACTTGTGGACTCTGGGAGAAGGCGAGGGTGGGACGTTTCAAGGGAATAGCATCAAAACATGTATATTATCTAGGGTGAAACAGATCACCAGCCCAGGTTGGGTGCATGAGACAAGTGCTCGGGCCTGGTGCACTGGGAAGACCCAGAGGGAGAGGTGGAGAGGGAGGTGGGAGGGGGGACCGGGATGGGGAATGCATGTAAATCCATGGCTAATTCATTTCAATGTATGACAAAAACCACTGCAATGATGTAAAGTAATTAGCCTCCAACTAATAAAAATAAATGAAAAAAAAAAGGATATACATAATAATGTCTTTAAGCTCTTTATAGAATTAAAACTCTATTTCTGCTTTGTTGACTATGCCAAAGCCTTTGACTGTGTGGATCACAACAAACTGTGGAAAATTCTGAAAGAGATGGGAATACCAGACCACCTGACCTGTCTCCTGAGATATCTGTTTGCAGGTCAGGAAGCAACAGTTAGAACTGGACATGGAACAACAGACTGGTTCCAAATAGGGAAAAGGAGTACGTCAAGGCTGTATACTGTCACCTTGCTTATTTAACTTATATGTAGAGTACATCATGAGAAACACTGTGCTGGAGGAAGCACAAGCTGGAATCAAGATTGCCAGGAGAAATATCAATAACCTCAGATACGCAGATGACACCACCCTTATGGCAGAAAGTGAAGAAGAACTAGAGAGCCTCTTGGTGAAACTGAAAGAGGAGAGTAAAAAAGTTGGGTTGAAACTCAACTTCAGAAAACTAAGATCATGGCATCTGGTCCCATCACTTCATGGCAAATACATGGGCAAACAGTGGAAACAGCAACAGACTTTGTTTTTTTGGGTTTCAAAATCACTGCAGATGGTGACTGCAGCCATGAAATTAAAACACGCTTACTCCTTGGAAGAAAAGTGATGACCAACCTAGACAGCATATTAAAAAGCAGAGACATTACACTTTGCCAACAAAGGTCCATCTAGTCAAAGTTATGGTTTTTCCAGTAGTCATGTATGGATGTGAGAGTTGGACTATAAAGAAAGCCGAAGAATTGATGCTTTTGAACTGTGGTGTTGGAGAAGACTCTTAAGAGTCCCTTGGACAGCAAGGAGATCCAACCAGTCAATCCTAAAGGAAATCAGTCCTGAATATTCACTGTAAGGACTGATGCTGAAGCTGAAGGTCCAATAGTTTGGCCACCTGATGCAAAGAACTGACGCGTTGGAAAAGACCCTGATGCTGGGAAAGACTGAAGGCAGGAGGAGAAGGGGACGACAGAGGATGAGGTGGTTGGAAGGCATCACTGACTCAATGGACATCAGTTTGGGTAAACTCCGGGAGCTGGTGATGGGACAGGGAGGCCTGGTGTGCTGCAGTCCATGGGGTTGCACAGAGTCGACCATGACTGAGCAACTGAACTGACCTGAGAATTAAAATTCAATAATAAGGTGTCAGCATTCTTCATACCAGGAAAGACCACCTGTTCAGTTCAGTCGCTCGGTCGTGTCTGACTCTTTGCGACCCCATGAATCACAGCACGCCAGGCCTCCCTGTCCATTACCAACTCCCAGAGTTTACTCAAACTCATGCCCATTGAGTTGGTGATGCCATCCAGTCATCTCATCCTCTGTCGTCCCCTTCTCCTCCTGCCCCCAATCCCTCCCAGCATCAGGGTCTTTCCAATGAGTCAACTCTTCGCATGAGGTGGCCAAAGTACTGGAGTTTCAGCTTCAGCATCAGTCCTTCCAATGAACACCCAGGACTGATCTCCTTTAGGATGGACTGGTTGGATCTCCTTGCAGTCCAAGGGACTGTCAAGAGTCTTCTCCAACACCATAGTTCAAAAGCATCAATTCTTCAGCACTCAGCTTTCTTCACAGTCCAACTCTCACATCCATACATGACCACTGGAAAAACCATAGCCTTGACCAGACGGACCTTTGTTGGCAAAGTAATTCTCTGCTTTTTAATATGCTATCTAGGTTGGTCATAACTTTCCTTCCAAGGAGTAAGCGTCTTTTAATTTCATGGCTGCAGTCACCATCGGCGGTGATTTTGGAGCCCCAAAAAATAGTCTGACAAGTAAAGTCTGATACTGTTTCCACTGGCTCCCCATCTATTTCCCATGAGGTGATGGGACCCGATGCCATGATCTTAGTTTTCTGAATGTTAAGCTTTAAGCCAACTTTTTCACTCTCCTCTTTCACTTTCATCAAGAGGCTTTTTAGTTCCTCTTCACTCTCTGCCATAAGGGTGGTGTCATCTGCATATCTGAGGTTATTGATATTTCTCCCAGCAATCTTGATTCCAGCTGAAGCCAGACTAAAAGAACTAGAGAAGCTCATTAAGAAGATTACCCATGATTAAAGGAACAGCAGGACCTTCACACACCCCTATCTTATCAGTAACCCCACCCTTGAAGCACTGCCTTAAAACTCCTCACCAAACTCCCTCGGTTGGGACACATAGTTTCCAAGGCAAAAGCCTACACTGTCTCCCTTTGCCTGGAAAAGCCATAAAGCTGTTCTTTTCTACTTCACCCAAAACTCTGTCTGAGATTTGATTTGGCACCAGTGTACAGAGGCTGAGCTTCTGGCATCACTAGCTATAGTTTTTTCAAATATTCAATATAATTAAATATATTTAATTATTTATGGTTATTTCCTATTTTTCATCATCACAAATATCACATAATTATCTTCATATTTGCATTCTGCACACTTTAACAAATATTTATAGTATAAATTCCTAGGAGTCGACTTATAAAGGAAAGTCACTAGTCGTGTCCGACTCTTTGTAACCCCTGGACAGTAACCTACCAGGCTCCTCCATCCATGGAATTTTCCAAGCAAGAGTACTGGAGTGGGTTGCCATTTCCTTCTCCTATTCTATCCCAGTAAGGTATAAAAAGCTTTATGTTTTCCTAGACTTTTCCAGATACTATATATCTTATTAAAAATTCCAACTCAAGCTTCAGAAAAATATAAAGTAAAAATTATTTCAAAATCCTGTGACCCAGAGACAGTTATTTGTTGCACTTCAGAAAACATCCTTTCAGAAACCTTTCTATGCCCACACACACTCATATCATTCATGATTTTACATGGAAAGACAACACTAAACATGTTATTCTATAAACCCAGTTTTTCATGTCTAACAATATGTCAAGAAGATACTTCTCTGTAAATTAATCAAGATAATATATAAACTTTATGAGCTGAATGGTACTCCCTAGTTGAGTGGATATTTTAAGCAATCCTTTTTCAATGAACACTTAACTTTTGTCTAATTTTTTGTTACCATAAAAAAAGCCATATTGGACATCCTTAAATAAATTGTTGGACACTTAGTCAAATGTCCAAACAAAACAACAGGGCCTGAATGCACCAAGGTTTTTGCATTTCTAATAAAACCACCACAGCTGAAACAGAATATAATAAGGCAGTAAAAGCTGTAATGATGCTCTGACCATTCAAATCAGAATTAATAGCTCCCACCAAAATTTTGGGCTTCCCTCATAAGCTTAGTTGGTGAAGAGTCCACCTGCAATGCAGGAGACCCAGGTTCGATTCTTGGGTTGGAAAAATCCCCTGGAGCAGGAAATGGCAACCCACTCCAGGATCCTTGCCTGGAGAATCCCATGGACAGAGGAGCCTGGTGGGCTACAGTCTATGGGGTCACAAGAGTCAGGCATGACTGAGCAACGCACACACCAAAATTTTAAGTTTACATACCCTTTGGCCCAGTAGAAAACTGCTAAAGAGTTTTCACAAACTAATAAGGAAAAACAATGAATTAGGCCAAGGACATGAACAGGCAATACACATAAGAAATATAAATGGCTATGAAGCACACAAAAAGATGCTCAATGTAAAAATCAAGAGGTATTAAGTTGAAACAAGATGATTAGATAGTGTCATTTCATTGTCAGTGGGAATGTAAATTTGATCAACCTCTTAGAGGGCAATTTAGCAATATTTATCAAAACCTAAAATATTCAATACCTTTGGCAACTCTACTTCTAGGTAAATGTTCAAGGACATTAACTACAGCATTTTTTAACAGCCAAGACTAGAAATAACCCCAAATGTTAACTGATAACAGATCATACAAGTGAAATATGGTATATCAACACAATGGGATACCATGCACTATTTAGAATAGTATTTGACATACATACATATAAAATTGGTATTGGAAAGACCTTGAACTGTGAACAATGATTTAAGGGGAAGAAAAGAGAATTTATGGAGGAATTACAGTTTCTTAATAATTACATTAACACTTTTAAATTCATTTTTTCTGATCTTAAAAGATTAGCCACTCCACTTGCAGTATATATGAAAAGATCAAGAATAAATATAAAACTAAAATACTTGTAAGCAAGTAAAATTAACCATAAATGATACCTAAATGCATAATCAATTATTCCCATCCATTTCCCCAAAACAAAAAATACTTACAAATTTTATCTTATGTTTTAGTTCTGGATTAATAGTCCCTCCAGGTCCAATCTGTGCAATAACTGATTTGAAGGTATTCTCCAACTATGAAAAAAGGGGGAAAAAAGTTCAAATTATAGTCAAAAAAAATTTTCTTAAGTCAAATATAAATCTGAACAGTAAATAAAGGAAACATCTATCAAAGAAAACACATTTCAACCAAATAGATAGACTTATTGTTATTAAGAAACACTAACATTTCATACTCTATAAAATACATTCAGGGTAGGTGAACTCATTATAAGACTAAACACTGACATTTTCCAGGATAATTAGCATTCTCTATAACAATTAGGTTTAGAATCTTCAAATACAAAATCCCATACTTTTACCCAGAAAAATTTTTGTTACTAATTTTCTTCTGTTTATAAAATTATTCAGTGTTTATTAAACACATTAATGCAGGGAAGAGATGGGATGAATCAAGGTCCCTGGGAGCCAGGGTAGTGGTGGAATGTCTCGCCCTAAAAAGCAGGAGGGTGAGCTCTTCCACCATCACAGAAATGAAGGAGGAAAAGGACCAGAATGGATTCAGAAAAGCTCCGTAAATGTGGGGTCAGCAGGTGGAGAGAGTCACTACCTGATAGCTTCAGCATTCCCTTTTTGAGTTCAGAAGCAAGGCCCACTCAACAGCATGAAAGGGAAGGGAGCTCAGATAGTTGAGAAAGTAGAAAAATAAAGCTGAGGAAATAAGTGATGGTTATTTAAACTCATCAGGTAGGGAGTAAAGATAGGTGAGGCCTGGAGATAAGACAGTAGGGGTCAGAGGATTTTAGTAGAAAAAAATCAGTGGTACAGAGAGGTCCCAATATGGTAAAAAAAAAAAGACAATGCATGGGAATAATTGAAAAAATAAGCTGGACGCATAGGAGGTTAGGAATAGAGAGTATCACAGAGCATGACCAGACACCACGGTCCAGTGAGGAGCCATGGAGTGGAGACCTGTGATAGAAGGAAAGATCATGAAAAATGGAAAATAAATAAATAAAGACCATGGAGTTATAGTTAAAGCTAAGTAAATGTGAAAAGAATACATATACATATGTACACACACATACGTTAGAAAAGACACAAAAGTATAAAGAAAACTACCTAAAATCCTATCACATAAACACAATCACTGTTTGTTTTTCCTTTTAAACTTTTATTTTTTAATATTTCTTCTTATTGTCACTTGGCCTGCCATTACTTACAAAGTATATGAACTTTTAAGGTTTCAGTTTCTTCATCTGAAAAATGAAGATAATCTCTGTCTCCTAAGGTTGACAGGAAAGTGGGATCTGGGAAGGGGGGACTAGATTCCTAAGACTATAACTAGCTTTCATAAAATGTCTCAGCCTTTGGTCTTAGGTTCTTTATATTTCTTCTAGAACTGTCATGAGATAATTCCCTAAAGATCTTCCAGTGAACAATAAAAGAATCTAAAGATAACTGATTCTTCACATCCCAACACGCTCCCACCATTTGAAGATTCAATACAACAACTTATTATCACCATGCTAGGTATTTCAGGTGACAAAAAAGTGTCACCTTTAACAGCGTCATTCCTCTCAAGCCACATATAACTAAGTAGAGAAACGAGATAAATGCATAAACAGCTATAACCTTAAGGCTGATACTGTGTGTGTGTGTGTGGGCGCGCACGCGCTCAGTCCTGTTGGACTCTTGTGACCCCACGGACTGTAGCCCACCAGCCTCTTCTGTCCATGGATTTCCCAGGCGAAAATATTGGAGTGGGTTGGCCATCTCCTTTTCCAGGGGGTCTTCCTGACCCAGGAATTGAACCTGTGTCTCTTGCACTGGCTGACTCCTAGCGCCATTAAAGAAGTACAAGAATGCAGAAGGACATATTATATACCAAGTCATACACAAGGCTTCCTTTCAGGAAGACCTTGAAGGATGGAGGATATTGTAGAAAGAGATGGTAAGGGGGACAATGAAGGTAGAAGGAACGTGGTAACAAAGGAGAAAAGAATGAAACAGTTTGCCTGAAGGCATGAGAAAGTAGTAGAAAACTGAAGGCAGGCTAAGGTCATATTGTAGCAACTCCTCAAAGCCAAACTAAGGAGTTTTTCTTGGTTACATAGACAAAAACTGGTATTAGAGAATTTTAGCAAAGAAGAAACATTTTCAGAATTTTAATCTGGCAGCAGAAAATTAAGACTGTTGCAGTGCATGACCAGTTAGAACACCACAACTCTGAGGGCAAGAGTTTTAACCAGGGTACCAAGAGAGCAAGAAGAGAAAGAGGAGATAATCAGAGGAGGATTCCACAGAAACTAGGGAAGAATATAAGAGAGAGGAAGGAACAGCTGACTCTACAGGGATGAAAAAAGAGAGACCAGGGAAACAGCCTCAATGACCTCAAGTTTTATGCAGAAAGCTAAAGGATCTTAAAACACAGAGCCACATTTTTGATGGCTTTTAATCAATTCCAAAAGTTTGGGAAACTAGGAGGTAAGTGGCAGGGTGGTGATTATAAGCATGAGTTATCTCTATGGAGCACGGCTTGTGACACAGTCAGCAAACTACGGCCCATGGGTCAAAACTGGCTGAGAACTGTTTCAGCATTTTCAAACTGCCAGGAGGGAAAAAAAGTAATTTTTGTGACACATGAAAATTTTATGACATTCAAATGTCAGTATCCATAAATAAAGTTTTATTGGAACATGGCCATATTCACTCATTCATATAGCTTTTTAATTTATCTACTTTTAATTGGGCAACAATTGCTTTATAATATTGTGTTGGTTTCTGCCATATATCAACATGAATCAGCTATAGGCATATATAAATGTCCCCTCCCTCGTGAACCTTCCTCCACCTCCCACACCACCCTACCCTTCTAGGTTATCACAGAGCACTGGATTTGAGTCCCCCGTGTCATTCTCTGACTTATCTCTGTATAATAAGCTCTAGGTTCATCCACCTCATTAGAACTGAGTCAAATGCATTCCTTTTTATGGCAGAGTAGTATTCCATTGTGTATATGTACCACAACTTCTATATCACTATTCATATACTATCCAAGTTTGTTTTAGCACTATGAGGGCAGTGATTGGTAGTTATAGTGCAGATCATTAGGCCCAACAAGTTTCAAATACTTACTACCTGGTTCTTTTGAGAAAATATTTGCCAAGCTTGGGTTAAGATGTCAAAATGACAGACTCTTAGCTAAGAAGAGAAAGCATCTCAAGATAAGAAAAAAAAAAATGGTTTTTTGCCTCAAGCTAGAAGACTAAATTCTGCTGACTTTATACTGAATGGGGTGAGGGAGATCTAGTAAAGTCCAGGTTATCTTGGAAATATCTGTAAGCAGATGTTAATAGTTACAATGTGGGAGGCCAGGGAGTAAGAGTAGAGGTCGGGCTTCCCTGGTGGGTCACTGGTGAAGAGTTAGCCTACCAATGCAGGAGACACAGATTTGATCCCTGATCTGGGAGGGCCCCACATGCTTCGTAGAAAGTAAGCCTGTGTGCCCCAACTATTGAGCCTGTCCTCTAGAGCCCGGAAATGGCAGCTACTGAAGCCCGCGAGCCCTAGAGCCCATGCTCAGCAACAAGAGAAGCCACCACAACGAGAAACCTGAGCATTGCAATAGAGAGTAGCATCTGCTTGCTACAACTGGAGAAAGGCCTGTGCAGCCAAAAATAAATTTAAAAAAAGAGTGAGAGGCAATCAGTGATTGACATGAAGAAAGTAATCAAGAGGGGACCCTGATTTCAACAGTGCTCTAGTCTCAGATGCCTACACACCAAACAGAAAAAAAATGGACAATAAATCAAGTGAACAAAGGATTATAAGAGGGGATAAAGATGGAAAATAACCCACTATATATATATATTCAGATAGGAGCCTACAGGACCCAAGAAGAAGCAGAGAAGAGCTTTGAATAAAAAAGATACACTCCCCAGAAAAATGAACAAAGATATGAAAAGGCAATTGATTTTAAAAAATTAACATGAGCTAGCCAATAACAGAATAAAAGTTCAACCTCTAATAAACAGATATTAATAGTCAGATATGGATATTTGCCTATCAAATTGGAATGTTATTTTTACAATAATGCTCATTTATTCACTCAACAAATATGTACTGAACACATACTACACACTTCACATTGTACTCAGCACAGAATATACAGGGGTAAATAAACTAGGTATGATCACTGCCCTTATGGAATTTTCAGTCTAGTGATGAGAGACCACCATGAAACAGTCATATAACTACATAATTACAATTATGATAAAGATTATGAAAAACCCACAGACTTGTCATAGAATACAATATAGCATCAAAGTGTCAAATACTTTGTCAAATATAGTGTCAAAAACTACAGTGTCAAAGAATACTATACTTGAAAGTATTAGGAAAGCAATGGGAGCTCTAACTTAGACAAGGGTCGGTAAGGAGGGAGAGGTCAGGGGACAGTGTTCTGATGAAGCATCAATTTATACTGAGTACTAGCAAAGGTACAAATTAAAGAAGCCCATTCACAAGCATCTTATGTGAATGTTAACTGAAACAACTTTTATGGAGGACAATTAACTACATACGTCATGAGTCGTAAGAGTACACATTTCTTTAGATATAGTGATCAGTGGTGGTGGTGGTGGTTTAGTCACTAAGTTGTGTCCAACTCTTGCAATCCCGTGGACTGTAGCCTGCCAGACTCCGCTGTCCATGAAATTCTCCAGGCAAGAATACTGGAGTGGGTTGCCATTTCCTTCTCCAAGATGTAGTGATTATTTATCTAGAATTTTATCCTATGGAGAAACTGAGATTTGTACAAATTTGAGTAAGATTTTCAACAATAAGGTTATGTTTAATAGCAAAAAGAGCAACATCCTAAATCCCCAAGTTAAAAAATTATGGCATATCCATACTGCCATTAAAAATTATGTTGTACTACAATATTTAACAATGTGGAATATTCATAATTCATAATCCTGACTTAGAAAAGCAAGTCACAAACCTGGACCAGAATGATGCTAATTATATTTTCTTTAAAAGAAAAAGTCAACTTTTCTGGGTGGTAAAAGAGT